TATTGTTTATCTTAAAAACCAGGACGATGGATAAAGTCCAAAAACCCAATATATCAGTGTGTTATACACCATCGTCAGAATCCTATAGTAACTACAATAGAGTAATATTAAGATGTTAATTAATTTCAATTTTAATTCCATTTTAAGTAGAAAACATCGCGTTCACGTGATATATAACTTTGACATAGAGTGCGTAGGCTGCATACGGCTGAAATTAGAACACCAAATTAAAAAATTACTTGATACAATTTTCAGTGCACAATAGGAGAACCGAGATCACCAAACTCAGCACGCGATAGGAGAGCCGAGATCACCACACTCAGCACATGATAAGAGAGACGAGATCACCATACTCAGCACGCGATAGGAGAACAGAGATCACCACACTCAGCACACGATAAGAGAGCCGAGATCACCACACTCAGCACCCGATAGGAGAACCGAGATCACCAAACTCAGCACGCGATAGGAAAACCGAGATCACCACACTCAGCACGCGATAGGAGAACCGAGATCACCAAACTCAGCACACGATAAGACAGTCGATATCACCATATGATAGGGTCTGGTTGAGCCCACTGTAAAGTCTTCCACTCAAACTATGATGTACCCTCCAAGATAGTCTGGACAGACAATGCCATGCTGTCGGCCCTGTGTCAGTTACGACCACTTAGCTTAGCTAGGGCCGATGTAGTGCCCAGTGTAGGCAGGTTATGCAGTGGTAATAGCCTAGGCTTCTCTTGGGTGGAGCCACATTCAAATATCGAACAGGAGACTGAGATCTTCGAAGTTTTTCCTCAGTCCGTGCAGGCTAATTCTCTTATTGCAGCTCGATTAAGTCACAGCCGCTTCCTTCCAAATCCTTTCCTTTTTTCATCAGTCGTCCTACCGTTCGCGGCTACGTACACTGGATACTGATAGCTTCGTAAAATTCTTCTTTATTGTCATGTGTAGAGGTTATGCGCGTGTCTTAAATGACGGGGTTTGGATAGGATGATTGGATTTACTGACACCTATTCACGCCAATCGGAACTACGGGCAATTACTCGTACCGCTGATCTACACACTTTAGAATTCACTGTTACACATGCATTGTAGTCCTTATTCTTCACTAGCCGTATCCTGGCAACGAATTTATGACTGACTCACTGTCACTTCAAATTACACAGGAAGTCTTCTTTTCATCGCTTAATTCCGTTCTTGCCATTTCTTCTCAGTCACCTTGGACTGACGTCTCTAGAACTCGGCTCAATTCTTTACAACTCACTCTAGCAAGTCAAAGTCAAAGTCACATTGCGACTGACGGTCAGTCAGTCTGTCTGCCTTGGTGTCGAACCCCCAACTGGGGCTCATGATCAATTTTTTTTTCTTTATATGAAAGTTACTGTCCTGATTTGGGGCGCCCTCTCTGATGAGAGGTCGGGTCTGTCATTTTTCAGTCATAGTCTGTGTTAGTAAGTCCATTGTCAGTATTTACATATATTTACAATCTAAACTTAATTCCTATTCCTATGTACAATATATACAAGGCCTCTGTCAATCCAGGCTCGGTACAGCAGATTATGCCCTCACTCTAGCGACATTCTTCGTCCCTCTATAACCCCTCGGCACGGACCACGTAGAAAACACAGCCTCTCTCTTGTTGAGAATGCTTGTTTACTGATTCGTTGCCTAACAATGGGCGTCTTATTGTTACACGCTTACATCTCCGCAGGAACGAGTTTACCGAGTCGTTACCTAGTAGTGGGTCAATGTCACAATATTCTTTGAAGGAATTTGTTGATTTATGTTCGTAAATTTTCTGAATCTTTGTGGACAATGAAATAAAATTCGAGTGCATTTACAGCAGTGGGGGTGTAGTTCTGATGAGTTTAAATTTTGAGGGCTTGAGTAAGAAGTACGCAGTAACAACTGGGAACATGGGAACCATCTCAGCATTTGCTTGGCGACAGAGAAAAACCAGGAAAACCTATGTCGAGATAGCCGGTCGCAAGAACTTTCGATTACACACTGACATCTAGCGAGCAGTCTGCCAAAATTAAGAAATTAGTGGAAGTTCCCTGAGTCCACCTTAATAAGCACACTGATACAATGCTAGAAAATACACAAACTGTCGATTATGATATGAAATATTTTGGCTATGAAATTGAAGAGAAAATAACAGTTTCCTTGAAATTTCTTTCTGAGTTCTTACAAGTACACTCACTATTTTACACATTTCGACACTGAAGATGGAGGCAACTTATGTCTCTGAAACATTAAACACATTGGTCTAACGACCACAGCTCTGACTTACACTCAGCCGCGACCTTGGTTTTACCCGCTGAAGATCATCTCACACGTCGCACCTTCCAGGAACACGTCAGCTCTAAATCAATTCCTTTCAAATCCCTTACCAGTCCATCATACATCATAATATCTGACACTGCGTTGTTCAGGGTCATAAAAGCGTCGTAAAATAACCACTATCACATCCGAAACGTCGGAGGCACTGCTCACGTCCACACAGAACGAAGACACAAGTGCAGAATAAACATCAACAGTAAAATTATTTCTTCTTTCAGGAAAACAGCTTGGAGACATCGTGGGCGAAAAGCAGAGAAGAACCGTGGTTCTACAATTCATCTGGGTGGGATCGGAAATGAATGTGTGCACCGTGGCTCCGAGTTCGAACACTGATTTCAATTGCGCAGAAGCAGCGACTTGCTAATGGTGTGCTGCTTTCTGCCACTCATCAACGTTACTGAGAGTTAGTTGCATATCATCAAGCGGCAGGGGATGTTGCCATTTTAACTTAGTTAAACAGTGGGCTTACAACAGGAAACAGTTCGGTAGGTGCTAGTCATGAATTTCGTTGAACTGTCAACGGTGAATTTTGCGAAGAAAAAATTTCTCAGAAATATTTAACCTCAATAACTCGAAAATTTCTGGCCATATATGCAATGATAATTATCATTGCATATCATTGCATTATCCATCGAGTCTATTATAATAGACTCGATGGAATATTAACATAGTATATTAAGTGGTGCTCTTATCTAGAGGAAATATTTTCGGCCGAAATATACAATCTAATACCGGTTCACTTGTAAATTCCATTTCGGTCACTGTCTGTTCCTATATACATACATACATAGTATATCGAAAGGAGAACAGTCTTAGGCTTATATATATATATATACATATATATCTTAAAGTAAAATTTTGAAATCTATTTATATTGGTAAAACTTAGAAAAATTTCTTTCCTATCCAAAATGGTCTAAAACATGGAGATGCTTTATCGTTATTGCTTTTCAATTTTTCTTTAGAATATGCAATTAGGAAGGTTCAGGAAAACCAGGTTGGACTGAAATTAAATTGGACACATTAGCGGCTGCTATATGTTGACGATGTGAATCTACTGGGTGATAATGTATATACCACAAAGAAATACAACAAAAACTTTAATTGACGCAAGTAAAGAAGTTGGTCTAGAAGTAAACACAGAGAAAACTAAGTATATGTTGCTGTCTCGTTACCAAAATGCAGGGCAAAATCATGACATAAAGATAGGAAACAGATGTTTTGAATATGTTGCACAGTGGGAACGACGATAACAAATCAAAACCTGATTCAGGAGGAAATTAAGAGGACCAGAACCTTTTGTCTTCTCGTCTGCTGTCAAAAAACATAAAAATTAGAATATACAAAACTATAATTTTGCCTGTGATTCTGTATGGGTGTGAAACTTGGTCTCTGACATTAAGGGGGGAACATAGACTGAGGGTTGATTTGGAACAGGATGTTGAGGAGAATATTTGGACCGAAGAGCGGTGAAAAAAATTATAATGAGGTAGGCAGGGCATATAGAATGCATTGGAGAGAAGATAAATGCTTACAGGATTTTGTTAGGAAACATGAAGGAAAGAAAACTGCTGCTAACCCCTAGATTTTCACTGAGGTTATTATTAAATAGATCTTAGATAAATTGGATGTGGTGATACGGTCTGGATTGAGCTGGCTCAGAATAGTGATAGATAGAGGGCCTTTGTGAATGTGCTAATACACTATCTGGTTAAATGTAAGGCAGGGAATTTCTTGAACGGCTGAGAATCAGTTAGCATCTCGAGAAGGGCTCGTCTCCAACGAGATTTCAGCAAGTCCTAAGCGCTGTGGGTGTGAGCGCCTGTTCACTTCTCCCTTCAAACAGTTCCTACACCTTGTCCGTTAGTCAGCTCCCCCTATTTAGATGTAACAGGCCGTGGAGGCACATAGGGCTGTGAGACGTCGAGGTTCCCATATTTTCTAGATAATCGGCTGACAGATGGCGGTGAGGTTGCCAGCCTTACGTGCCGGCCGCGCTTTAACCCCATTTAACTCATTCCTGTTAGAGGCTGAATCGACCCCAGGGCCGTAATGTGGATGGAAGGATTAGGGCAATTGAGAAAGAAACCATCTCATCGGGACTTGAAACTGCCACTTTCTGGCTTGTAGCATAGTGCCTGAAGTAACTATTCCCATGGCCCCGACATGTGATGGATGCGAACACAACCAGCCCACACCGTTTCCAGGGGCTAGTTCGTGGACATACAGAAACACATGCGCGGAATTATAAGAAAAATATTTTTTCTCGTATTCAGGACTGCCGAAAATGTGTAACTACGTAAAAATTCGGAGATCACATTTCTTTGCATTTCATGCAAATTTGAATTATGCGAATTTTCTTTTCTCTTTTCTCTCTCTCTCTCTCTTTTTTCCCCCTTTCTTCTTTTCCCCTGTCCTTGTAACAGACTGTGGAGATCCAGTGGGCTGTGAGATTTCAAGCTCCCAAGTTTGTTAGAGAGTCTGCTCACAGATGATGGTAGCGTAGTTAGCTGAGACACAATGCTTCAAGCCGGAAGGTCATGGGTTCGATTCCCAACGAGGTCATTGGATATTTTAATTGACCTAATCCTTCTAGTCGCACTATGGCCCTGGGGTCTGCTCGGCCTCTAACAGAAATGAGTACCAGAAATCTTCCTGGAGGTAAATTGTGACCGGCCCGTAAGGTTGAGAACCTTAACGCCATCTGTGAGCCGATAGTCTAATTGTGGGAGCCTCGACGTCTCACAACCCTATGGGTCTCCACGGCCTGTTACAGGGAATTTCCAGTAGTGTTATATAAAAACATTAATAAATTCTCGCTTTATGGGCAAAGTTTGAAACAACCCAAATTCCCCCACCCACCCAAAAAAGAAATTCCCTGTGACAGGCCGTGGAGATCCTTAGGGTGGTGAGACGTCGAGGCCCCCACATTTTCTCTAGGCAATCGGCTCAGAGATGGCGGTGAGGTTGTCAGCCCTAAGCGCCGGCAACCCTTTATCCCCAGGAAGATTCCTGGTATTCATTTCTGTTAGAGACTGAGTCGATCCCAGGACCATAGTGTGGCTGGAAAGATTAGGTAAACTGAAAAAAAAATCATCTCATCGGAATTCGAACCAGCCACCATCAGGCTTGTAGCATAGTTCCTCAACCAAGTATGCTACCGCGTGACCCCTCCTTAATTAAGCAAAGAGACAAATTTTTCTTTATTTTAAATGAATTTAAGAGCCACGATTGGTCAGTCAGGCGACGGGCTGCTGCGGCTCAGTTTCCGGTAGAGGCAAAACATTTTCCTTCCCTCCACGTCGTCCAGACGGAATCTGGGACCCAGCCAGCCTCCTATCTAATGCGTGCCGAAGTGTCACTCCCCGGATGTAAAGCGGCCAGGGCGTGAAGCTAACCGCTCACCCCATTTGGTGCAAACGTCAAGAATGGTGGAACTATACCTCCACTTCCCATACGTCTTCATGGCGGGGTGCTTAACTAAGTAAGAGCAGGGAAAACTTTGCCTTAATAAACGGATGCTATTGGTAAGTTTGCATATAATTTGCAGTCTTGATAAAAGTGAGATGTTAGTCCACGGTGCGTATAGACTCTTGTAGCTGTATCATCAACAAAATGGTGGCCTTCAGAAAGCAATGAATGACCACGGCACGGCGGCGTTGCGTCTGCTAAGACGGATGTGCGCCTGTTTTGACAAGACTCTGTGTTAACACCTCTTTTCAGAATACAAAGTTGGTTTGCTGACTTAGTAATACACGCAAATTTAAGTCTGCTTTGAAGAGGATCTGTATACAGATCTGCAGACATGCTCTCTCGTATCGCAACGTTACTCTTGGTCACTCCCACAATCCAGAGGGCTGGACGCTGCCTCCTCAACCCCTGGTGCTGGGGTTTTCTCTGTGTTTCTTCGGGTTTTCCATAGGAGCAGCCAAGAATTTTCCAATTGGACAGGGCGGCCATGAGATTGGCTCAAGTTTAAGCTTATTTAAGTGATTTTGAGTAAAATTAAAGAAAAATATTGCCATGGACCGATTTTATGAAAGTTTGAGGAGTTGTGGCAATTTGAAAACGAGATGAAGACAATTAAAGGGTTATAATGAGTTTTATATTAAGTTCAATGTGAACCGAAAACAAATGTCGCCGGATTCGAGTTTCACATGAAGGGGATGTAATGCAAAGTTCTGACGTTTCTACAGCAGCGACTGTTCAGAATGTGGTACTGTGGGCTCTCATACCGTGTAGTCTTGTAGAACAATAGTGCCGTTTCGGAGGAATATGATGCCGCTGTCGTAAGTACTGAAGTATGTTCATCCGAAATGTCGGTATCCCCCTACAAGTCTATACACTATCACACCCCACAGGAAAACAATCACAATGCCTACCAAGTTGGTCTATAGGTAAAATTCTAGACTCGTATGTTACCCTACCTTCCGACACTGGGGCACGAGTTAGCGTGGTTGGTTGACGCGCTGTACTACAAGGTGGAAGGTCACAGGCTCGATTCTCGATAAGGCAATTGGATTTTTCAATTAACATGACCCTTCCAGCTGCATTATTCCCCGGGATTCTACTAGGCCTCCGGCAAAATGTGCACCAGAATCCTCCTGGGGTTAAAGGGAGGCCGGAGCGTTAGGCTGACAAACTCACCGCCATCTGTGAGCAGACTGTCTAGAAAATGTGGGAGCCTCGACGTCTCAGAACCCTATGGGCCTCCATGGCCTGTTACAGGGATAACTCTATCTCTTTCAACACTCGACACTGCTCCTGAAATAGCGTCTTTAAGCAATTCACGCAAAAGGAATGTGATTGATAGAAATAATATTTTCTGTTGTAAGCCCACGCGTCACTGCAAGAAACACAGTAAAGTTGTATTTGACCTCAGCGGTCCAAGAAAGTTTATGTAGGAACACTGGACGTTAGAAGTTCATATAGCCTTATCCATAATGCAGCATTCAGGCGTTGTGTGAAGCAGTTGGTTTGAAATGTGTGGCGTCTCATCACCTGATGAATTTCCACTTCGCAAGCAAGTTCGTTTTGCGCGTAAAGGTGAAAATTGTGAGTCTGCGATCAGTAAATGATGAAACCAGAAATCTGTTGAGACGTCAGATATTATTTCAATTATTTGTTATGAATGTTTTATCTAGTCGCGCCCAATTTATAGAACGGAAGTTTTGTGCCGATGTAAATGTTAGACAGGTACAAGAGTGAAATATTTAATAAAAAAAACGCAGAGTAAACACTCGCTAACCCGAAGAAATTGGAGGGGGCATCCGGATAGAGCGATAATCCGGATTAGTGAAGCAAGAGGTAGCCCTAAAAGATAAAAAAGACTTACTTAGAACACAAATAAATAGAAAATTTAATGATATAAGCAGTGATGAAAATATGAGTAAATAAATATATATTACCGTAGGACCTTTACTTAAAAAAGACAATATGTATTTATTCATCGATAGAAGACTCAGTAGCTGTACTTGCTTTGGAACATAACGCAGGTTTGAAGAAACTGTCTCAAGTTTCAGATCCTAAAGGCTTCTGATGGAGGTGTATATTGTACAGCACTCATTATTATTGGGGTTTTCCACTTTTGCCATCTTCCGGTATTGTGGAAACTAGAAAAAACTATGTAACTCTCTCTGTCAAATGACTGAGATTAGCGCTTTCTAAGGGACCCAACTGAGTAGGTGTCTTCCCCCCTCACCTAAGGACGGAAACATATTAATTTTCCGAAACGTCTTGTTTTCCAGTTCTTAGAATAAATGGGAAAACTGCAAAATCTTAGTAATTCTGAGTGTCAAACTTTTGTCGGTACAGATAAGTGGTTCATCTGCCTTCCTAAATGTCATGTGTCTTTTTAAAGTATGTATTCAACTGTGAACAGAATTTTCCACATTTCGATCCGGACTATCCGATATCCGGATTAATTATAATCGGATTAGCGAGGTTTTACTCTATTTATATATTGGTAAATGTATGTATAGACGGTAACACACTCCTGTGTAGAGGCGAATCGGAGGACAACACGCTACTTTATCCAATACTTAGCCAAACAAGTTGGCGCTGTATGTCGAATTACCTCAGACTGCCCAAAACACATATGTAGCTAATTACGTACTTTTAATATGTAAATCTTATAATATAGGCCTATAAAGATACAAAAATATATGAGATTAAGCCAGATAGGTAAATGTTCTGTGATCTAAGTGAAAGAGTCGACTTTTTACATCGATTTTAAATGTGTACGATATACAAGAGTGAAATATATCGATAATCAGTTTAAGGACTGAATACGTGTCTTTTTCATCTTTTGTTTGATTAGCAAAACAAAGAATACTTCTGTTTCTGTTCTCACGTCATGTAAAGTGTAACCAAGTGTAACATATGAACTGTAATGTAAAATATTAATAATAATTTGTGAGCGGACAGAGTGGTAATGGAACTTCATGTTTACTTCTTTACGGCTACATTCCACACTTATACCATTCTGAAGAGTGTAATTGTGTCTGTAATGTTGTGTTCTAGCCGACCGCCGTCCTGCAGATGCCACGACTATCTCTCGAGATGAGACCTTAGTCCCAGGGATACAGGGACTTCGGATACCGGGGGGAGAACAACCTTCGTGGTTTATATAAATTCGGTGGCCTCCAGAACCAGCATCGTGTATTACTGTTTTAAGTTAAAATTCCGTCCAGTGATTGTCAATCTTTACGTTCGTCCTCCTACAAGCTCGCCTCTCACTGATCACTCCAGTCGGCATCCTTATTTATATTCAAAGCAATTCGCTCCCGTCTCGCTGCCACTCCTGTAACTTCCATCTCCTCCTGTGTCTTGACTCCGACTGTCTGTTCACTCACCCTCAGGCAGCTCCCAGCCACAAGTCCCTAAGTGGCCGTCAGTAGAAAACAAGAGACAGACAAGGGTCATGCTAGGCGCCAGTCCCGCATTTGCCTACCGATATGTTTATCTTAAACCTTTTCAGGTCTCCGAGGTACATGAGCAGGCAAATCAAGACCCCTTCTGGCAGGTCTCGCACAATGTCAAATCATGGATTTATCACGCAAAATCCTTGCCTATCTCGACGGAAGAGAACACTAGGACCAAACTGGCGACATTGATGACAATAGTGGCACCAAATGCGTAAGGAAGACTATGTTGAATTACAATTAGACGGTCCCGGGATGGTACCTCGCCGTAGGAGCGCCTCTCAGGGTGTGAACATAAAGTATAAATTGGTCATAAGCACAATTAAATAATTTTAGCGAGGGACGTACGGTTATAGTATGGGTGTGAAACTTGGTCTCTCACACCAAAGGAAGGACATAGACAATAGGTGCTTGAGAACGGGGTTCTCAGGGGGATATTTGAACGCTGAAAGGTTTAAATAACAGGAGACTAGAGAAAATTACATGATGAGAAGCTTCATAATTTGTTCTTACCAAACATTGTTACAGTGATCAAATTAAATAAAATTAGAGAGGCAGAGCATGAAGCATGATAGCGAAGCGTGATTAGAAAGTTCAGATAAGGAAACCCGAAAGAAAGACCACTGGGAAGACTCTTTGGAATACGCGGGAGGGTGATATTAAAATGGATCCTATATAAACAAGATGGGAAGGAGTGGACTGCATTAATTTGGCTCAGGATAGGGACCAGTTGCCGTGGAATAATACCGCGAGGCGTCTTCCTTTAAGGTAACTCTTCATTGCTCACTGAAAAACAAAGAACATAGACTAGCAAGATATGCAAATAAAATAAAACACAATCAAGTCATGGATGCAACATAAATCAACGAATTAAAGGGGAAAGTTATGTCGATTCCTAACGCCAGTGGCGGGCTGTTATGAACACGGCGATCAGCCTTTGGGTCCCATTAAAAAAATGGAGAATTCTTGTGTGCCTCTGCTGCTATTGGCTTCTCAAGAAGATATTCTCGTTGAAAATCAACTGGAACATTTAACTAATTCCGTTTGTAGGTACGGTCTCTGTTGACAGCTTTCACTGACATACTCTTAAAATTCATGACCATCGAGGAACCCTTGGGAATCACGATTTTCACTGAATATGCGCACGATCAATTTGAAAACTTCTGCAAGGACATCACCACAAAACGAGCCTAAGGATAACAGCCTACGGGCGGAGTACTAAAGGAAAATGTCGCCTCTGTGGTCTAGTGGTTAGAGTTCCAGAGGTCCGGGTTCGATTCTTGGCGCTACCAGATTTTCTGAGAAGTAGTGAGTCTGGAACGGGGTTCACTCAGCCTCGTGAGGATAATTGAGGAGCTATTTCAAGGAAATAGCGGCTCCGGTCTAGAAAACCGATATTAACGGTCGTGGGGATTCGTTGCGCTGA